TAGATTTCTTGACTTCTTGAATGTCCTGATAAACTCTGAATTACTCAGGACTCCGGACTCTATCACTGCAAAAGGTCTGTGAACAGTGGAAAAGGACGAAAATGCCATTTTTTTCAGAAGCCCTTACCTAGGACCACAGTGACTTAATGACTTGGAGCAAAGCTGATTTTGTAGTGGACACGTTGTCTTTAGGGGAAACACTAAGCATGATGACAGGAATGAAAGGGTTTGTACTTCAGCTTTTAACAGTGCAAATCATTCCTTCTCAGAAAGAATTCCAAAGACGTAGACCTGGTAAACAAATGTGTGTGCACATGATATGCATTTTCACCTAAGGTAATGGAAACAATTTGGAAGAAAATAATGTATTTTTTCTTTGTATTATGGAGGTGAAAATTCACATTGTCTAGTTGCTCTGTAAAACAGTTTTCTGGGGATTTTATCCTCCAAATGCATCAATGCTGAATGAGTTCTCTGTGCCTCCTATTAATGATGCTGACAATTAAACCCCAAGGAATAAAGGACACAAGCAAAGTTTTACACTTCTTCAAAAGTGCTAAAGTAGCTTAAAAATCACCCAGAATTTGTGAAAGTGTTGATTAATGTTCTCTGAAAAAAGAAGAAGATGGAGGCTGCTGACATTAAAAATTCATGTTTTCCTTCCTTGCACTTTCTTATTTTCTCTTTTTTGTCCTGCTTATTCAGTGATTGTATTTATTGTATCTCATCACTGAAGATATTTTCTACCCTAATAGGTATGGAGAGTTCCTTTATGAATGTTGCCAAGGGGTCACAGTCACTTGTCTGTGAGGTGCAAGCTCTCAGACTTTCAGGCATCAGTTTATGAACAATGAAAATGAGAGATGTTTTTCGAAACTTATTGTGCTCTAGCTCTCTGTGCAAGCACTTTGCAATTGGGTACACATTGCTGCTCTTTGATGTCCATATTTAACTGAGCTAAACTTCTGGTACTATTGAATCACAGTGTTAGTGTCCCTGTCTTAGCATGATGAACTCGGGGAACTGATACATTACTTAGCATTTCTTGGAAATAATACTATGGAAGGGACAGAAGCAAGTGTATTTTTCTATATCTCAAATCATCTTGCCTAGACTTAGAAAAACTCTCATTAGCAAGGGCGGATGTAGGTTAATCAGGAGATGGGAACCCTAAGCTGTGGGTAAATGGGAAAATTGTCAAGCTTCTTGCATATGAGCCAGGGATAGGCAAGTACTCTCATTGGAACTCCTAGAATCAGTCAGGGACAAAACCCTTCTCAGAACCATCCTGACTTCCAAACTAAAGTAGTCACATATTGAATGCCAATTTCTTTAAATGTTGAAAATCTTAATTCCAGGTATGATTTTTTTCTTTTTTGTGGACGAATGATTTATCATAGGGCCTTCCTCAGCCCTTGGTATTTTTAAATTTTGAGACAGAATCTCATCAAATTCCCCCATGGAGGACTTAAACTTGTGATTCTCATGTCTCTGTCTCCTGGAGTACTGAGATCATAGGCATGTGCCGCCACGGTTGAGGCAAGCATTTTTCTGAAGCTCCCCTTTCTCATACCTACTTCATTGTCATTCAATGGCAATTTTCAAAAACAAGTAAAAGAAATGGAGCTTTTTCAAATGGGAAAGGGATTCAGAGTTGGAGGGAGCAGGGAGAGATGAGGAAGGAAAGGGACAAAAAAGAATTAAGATGTGGTATGTACACGTACAAGTTCCCCATGAATACAAACATCATAGACATAATTAAAGATACTGTAATATGGGACCCCAAAACATAAAATGTACATTATAGGTTTTACTTATCAAGGGAAATATAAGTCACAGGGTCATTTAAATACCAGTTTGTCCAACCATGCTGGAAATTATGTACAAGAGACACCTAAAAGGGCTTGAATGGTGGATAGAAGACAGAAAGGCTAAGGATCCAAGAAAAAACATAGTGGAAAGCTTCCTGCTTTATCCTACTTTTCTTCACACATCCTAGTTGCGAGGCTAAATGGCTAACAACCTAGAGAGCTCAAGTAGTACAGCTAAAAAACAAGCACATTGGAAGCCTGATCTCTCTAAGCAAAGGATGAAGAAAGTGGCAGCATATGAGTCAGAATATTTTCAACCAATGATTGTTCTACCCAAGCCAAAGGCCATGGAAAGAACAATGGCCTCACCTCCATCCAGCTATTCTACCACAAAATGCCTCCGTGTCCAGGGTGCTATCAGAGAAGACAGATATGGGAATGATGTCTGGAATCTGGAAGATTAATATTATGAATCTTGGAACGTAATTATTGTCAGAGAATCCCAAACTTCTCCCAGTGGCATCAGTTGGGCGAATATGAGAATCCTGGACTTCCACTGCAACTGAGCAGTAATGAGGGGTCCACCACTCCCAGCAGGGATTGTGCTGGGGACAGCTCAGTGGAGCGCTGGGACCAACACCACAGGCCTATGATACCAAGAGCAAAACCCCTGGACACTCTAAAGTCCCCAGAGTCACATGGGGAATGGTAAGGGGCTTTTCGGCCCGTCCTAGCCAGAGACATACCAGTGGAAACTAGTGGAAGCTGAGACTTTGACATAATTGGTAGCAACATGTAGCTTTTCCTCTCTGGTATTAGTGAATGCTGAGCAGGCAATGGAGATTTCTATCCCAGTCTGGTATTATGGAGGCCTCTCAATCCTTCACTTGGACAGTGTCGGAGCACACAGGTAAAGTGAGAGGTTTAAATAAGATTGTTCATAATACACTTCCCAAGATGTCCAGGTTTTCTTTTTAAAAAAATTTGTTGTTATACCAAGTCACAAAATGACCTCAAATTGAATGGAAAAAAAGACAATGAACAAATGCAAACAACTATCTAAAAAATATTTTAAAATAACTAGGATAATAAAAATGTCTCAAAAGCCAATTAAGAAGTTAGAAAGCATCAGTAACAAGGAGAATTTCCTAGCAAGAAAATAGAAGATATAAAGAAGACATGCATGAAAGGTTTAGATCAGTAAAATACAACATCAGACAAAAATTAATAGATGGGTACAATAACACCATGAGAGGAACAAAGGAAAGCAATGTCAAATATGTAGTAAGAGAAATCATTTAACTTGAACAGTGGAGAAAATATGATTTTGAAGATTATAACAAAAGATTCACTGTTCATGTTGATGGAATTCAGGAAAAAGATGAGAAAGAGATAGAGGTACTCAAACAAGTAATGGGAGAATACTTCACAGATTCTGTGGAAGATATAAACCCTTACTTTCAAGAAACTGAACAAAAAACTTAATAGGTTAAACTCAAAGAAATTCATACCATGACAAAGAGGCAAACTTGAAATCATCAAGAGAATAGTGAGACATTACCTATAGCAAAAAAGCAATTGGATGAGAGAATAGATTTGCCACTGAGGGCAAAGGGAAATGGCTTAACATTTTCAAGTGCTGTAAAAAACAGAACTGTGAACACACAGCCTTATATTTAGAGAAAATATGTTTCAAGAATAAATAAGAGAATTTTTCATCTTCATATGTACCCTGAAAAGAATGATGAGAGAAAATTATTTTGTAAATGACAGAAGAAATCTAGGAAAATTAGGAAGGAATAAAATCACAATTTTTGCTTATTGCCTAAAATATAACTAAATACAATGAAATCACTTGAGCTTTCCAAATTGTGTTTAAGAGTTGAAGCAAAAATAAAAGTATCTGCAATAATTCTTTTTTTTTTTTTTTGGTACCGGGGATCGGTCTCAGACCCTTGCGCTTGAGAGGCAGGAGGCAGAATCACTGAGCTAAATCCCTGGCCCAATAATTCTAAATATAAAGAAAGGAAATAATAAGTATGACAATCATATAAAAATAAAGTACATGGATTTTAAAAGAGTAGGCTGTTTGTTGTTGTTGTTGTTGTTCTGTTTTTTTGAGACAAGGTCTCACTAAATAGTTAGGGCTGACCTTGCATTCATTATGGAGCGAGCCCATGATAGCTTCAAATGCATGCACCACCATGCCCAGCTAAAAGAGATAAGATTTAAATATTTCACTCAAGTGATAAAACTAGTAAGTTATGAGTAGTTATTACATGATACCTAAGAAAAATTTAACAAAATTTATACACAAAGATAAATAATAGATCAAAATGAAATTCTAAAAATTATTTAAGAAACACATAAAAGAAAATGGATGAGAAAAGCTGTGCCATACAACCATTAATTGTAAAAAATTATTAACAGAGTTCAAAGCAAGGAAAATTAATCAGAGATGGGGAATAACATTATATAATAGTTCATTTGAGTAGGAACAAAGAGCAGTACTACAGAGATCCCAAATTTATGAACCAAATAGTGTAAGAACTGGAGGGAGAAATCATTCCTTAAGATAATTAGAACATCAACACCTTTGTTCAGCTCCTACGATGTGCAAGACATTGAGAATGTGGTTAAAAAAAAAAAGTAAGATCCAGTCCTGATTGTGAAAACTTACGGTTTATTAGGGAAGACATACACTGACTAATTAGAAAATAATTTTCTGGGATTATAAATGAGATAAAGGGAATTTCCAAAACACTGGAAGTATAGTTTTTTTTGTTTAACATGCCCAGTATTAATGTCAGTAATATCTAGGCAAATGTATAACTCCCAAACTAGAGAATCTAAACAGGACCTGTGTTGCTCCTGTCGCACTTTCTAAAGATAAAACAAAATCCAGGTTACCCACTTATGGTGCAGAACCTACCCACAGCTAGAAATAAACTACTGCCAAGAAAATGGAATCCTGCTTCTGTAATGTTTTTGTTTTGCCAGTAACGCGGTGCACACTGACTCAGTCAGTCCCTGGCGGCCCTGTTGTTCTTCCGTGCGGCATGGTAGGCTGATGGGCACTCCGAGAACATGTGATAAACACACTAAAAAGAGATGCAGGGTCGGTGGTGAAAGCAAAGCTTACTCCTGAGAAGTAAAAACCATGAAGATACGAAACATGAGTTGACTTACCACAGTGTAGATCTGATGCTTCCGTCTTTTAGCTAGGTCAATTATGTTTACACCATTGTAGTATAGGTTTTCAATACATCCATGGAAGTTTTTCTTTAAAAAGGTCCCAGGTTTGCCTGGTACTGGAATTCCTCCAAAACTAAGCTTTACGGAGGGAAAAATAAAAAATCAACTCTTAGTTATAAGCACTGAAAAAGTAGGAAAGAAAACAAGTGGATTTCAGTAGATTCAATTGTATGCAAGAGCCAAGTGGCTCAAATAATTATAGATGCCACTTGATTACACATTTAAAAGGATACTGATTAGACCATGTAAAAATAACTATAATTGCTTGCTTCTTAAGGGCTTATTTTACGAAACCATTTTCATTTATTTTTGAACCTTTTTAATACTAAATAAAACAATATTTTACAGAAAGAGGAAAAAAAGATAATCCACATCTTTATATTTATCTCTTACACAAGCATCTTAGATTATTCCACCAAACAATATCCAAGGGACAAACAAAACATGCATCTTTTGAGCTACAGAAAGACCTAGTTTGAAAGCTAGTATTTTACACGAAAAGCCTTATACATAAGGTGGTTGCTAAACTGTTATGTATAAAGATGAAAAGTAGGAAATCATGCGTGTGTCCCATTCAGCTTTGTAAAGCAAATAAAAAGCAATATGAGGAAGCCTACATGGAATCAATGACACTTTTTGAACATCCGTCACAAAATAAGAAATGAATGTAACATCTACTGAAAAGTACAAGGGTCATAATTGGTTGTGAAGTGTAGTGTCAGCAATGAAAAGTTGTGCACCTAATACGGGCTGGGAAGAAACATACTGAAATTACTGTTGGATAACGCTGGAAAGATTATGGGATTTTAGTCTCCTAAATAATTCTTTATTCAAGTTTTAAGGTGATTTTTTTTTTTTTTTTTTTTTTTGTACAGGGGATCGAACTCGGGTTCTTGCGCTTGCATAGCAGGCGGGAAAACCACTGAGCTAAATCTCTGCCCAAAACAAATTATTTTTAATGAATGTATTAATTTAAAAATCTCATCTGTTATGAATAGTTTTTTATTATGCCAGAAAAGCAAGATGTGTTTTATAAGCACATTTATCCCACCACCATTAAAAGCGTAACCATTTTTTCTGACTTCAACTATCACTTACATTTTGTACCTGCATCTGGTACGCACACTACACAGAGGTTTAGGTCCCCCTGGCGCGCCACTCACGCAAACCGGCAGCCAAGAGCACACAGGAGGCACAGACAATGCTAGCTCAGTTCTCGCCCCGAGAAGTTCTTCTCTTTATAGGGAAGCCAGTGATACACTGAGGACAACTTCTAGAGGTTTGATTTTATCATCAGTTTCACATAATTTAAAAAATTTCTTTCTTAACGAATAGTAAAAAGTGGTAAGAGTTATTACTCCTGTTGCTCGTTTTATTTGCCCCGACTTACATTTTTAAGATAATTATTTTGCTATTTTGATCTATTTTATCGTAAAATTTAATTTCAGGTGATTTTATTTAAAATAGTTTATTAGACTTGTGGTTGAAGTCATTATTTCCATTAAAACATTCATTTGGAAAACAATAAATGACTTTTTAAATACGTCATCTTCCTCACTAAGAACTTATTGTTTCTCTTCTCCAAATATTTCTGAAAAGGCCTCTCATTTTACCTATTTATCATTGAATTCCTATGAATTTTATGCTTTGAATAATTTTATTGTATATGAATTGATTCACTGAAAATATTTTATCATTTAAAAATATACCCATCGTGTACCCTGCTGGTGGTTTATTTTCTCTAACCATATTATTGCATTATACTTTTATATTAAATCATAAACATTTTACTTTTAATTTTCAAGGCTTATAATCATATAACACATATACAATAAATTATTCCTTTTTAAAATCAATTTTCTACACATTTTTCTCTTGTTTTATTCTCCTGGTCAAATCCTAAAACCTGCCCAAAACTGAAGAGATTTTTAAAAAAACACTAATGCCATACAATTTTGTAAACACAAAACAAAACATTTTTTTTTTATTTTCAGGGTACTCATGACCCTAACTCTGATATTGCATTTAAGAAATATTCCTGTACTTTCATTTTACATTCTATTGATTTATTGTTTGTTTATTTGAAATTGGAATGAACACTTATTTTATACATTCATTTCTTAAGATATTCATGTGATGGAGTATAGGATATTTTGTTTAATCTACTGCTGAGTTAAATTAAATTATTAGATTATGAGTTAATGGATTCTTTCTTATTGAAGCACATTTTTGTTGCATTTACCTAGAAATAGTCGTTTCTCTATTTCAAGTAGCAGATGAGTTTGAGCATTAGTCTTCTTTAGTGAAGCATTTGTATCAAGTCTAGATTTGTCTGTGAGAACAACTAAGGGATTTTTGTCTTTTACTGTAAGAATAGTTCATAAGTCTTGGAAATATTCTGGAGAATGTTAAAAAATTAGGAATAAATTTCTTTTTCTATTTTGATGTATTGCAGTGTTCAAATACTGTCAATGTGAGCCATTTAATATTTTTAAAAGGTTCCTTAATTTGCAAATTTCTGCATGAATCAAATTAGTAATGTCAAAGTATAAGAGGATACTTTTACTTTTATATATTTATTCTTTTAATTTTAAATATTTAATGACAAGTTTATTCTTTTCGTTTTAATTTTGGCCACCTTTCTGAATTTCTAAAGATACTTTTAATGCTTCACTTGGTTGTGTCTTAGGAAAATACTGGGTTGCAGAAGACTATTTGAAAGAAAGAGAAGAACATAAAAGTGCTGTCATTAAAATAGCAAAAAAAAAAAAAAAACAGTGCCTGAAGAATTCAGTTTAGAGACTTTTTCTCAAAAGCCAAATAGTATGCAGCATACTACAAATAACAAAATTGTAATTTCCTATTGAGTTGAGGGGTGCAATCTCTCCTTTGAGTCTGTGTGGAGAATTTGGGAAAAGTTCAATGGAGACAGAAGCAGAGTTGAAAACAGTACTCATGTTGGGGTTTACTTTCTGGTCATCTCTGGTGGAATGACACCAGAGGCATGTTAGGGAGGCTGTAGAAGTCATAACGTAGATCTGGGAAACCACAGGAAAGTCCTTTTCTCCTGATTCTAAGAGCTCTGTTGGCCACAATCCTATCAGAATTGCCTTAAATTTAACAAATTCCCAGATCACAACAGCTGGAAGGCAGACAGCTTAGCAATGGCCTAGGGAACTCATAGATAGGCCTGAAGGCTGTCTCATGTGGACCTGGTCACACCAATGTAGTGGTGGGATATTGAAGATTCCCAGACCCATGAGAGTAGGAAAGGGGTATGGCTGTGCTGAGACACTCAATAACTACACAGAGGGAGAGCAATGGATCTGGAGTTCTGGGAGAGTCCAGGTGACTGGAACACACAGACTCAGGCCATGGAGACACAGATTTTCCTGGCAGAAGATGACACATGATTCTCATGACCCCACACCTCAGGACTAGTGGCCAAGATGTTTTCAGGGGGAACCAGCAGATGACATGCTTCCACTTATGCAAGACATTACAAAAGCCACCCAGGTCACCATCTTCCCAAAGAAAAGCAAAGAAGAAGAATGGGAAAAAATCTTAATATAAGACAATGCTTACACAAAAATATATGCAGCTTTAAATATAGATTAACAACTTGTTCATCATGAGGGTTAGATTTTTCTGCCATCAGGGGAGGAAAGAGTGGCTGATGAGCATGTTGAATTCAGTAAAGGAAGAAGCAAAATTGCATTTATGTACATTTGAGTGTGAGTGTAAATTTTACACCTGACTTACACTTTTAGATTTTCAAGTAGAGAATTTGAAGTTATACTTCCATATAGAATTATAGATTAGGCTCACTATCAGATAAGGTAGACTGGAAAAATTTGTTTCATGTATTCATGTTTTTATTTCCTATAGAATATGGATTTTTCTAAATATTTTATAAATGTTTACCAGTTATACTTAGTATAAAACTACTAATTCTGCATTATAATTATGTTCCTCTAATGCTTTGAATTTTTTAATAAAATTTTGGTGATAAAACATTAAGATCTTGCTTCAAATTTTATTTCTCTCCATTGATACATACATGTGACCTGACGATGTGCAAGGCGGCGACTGCCCAAATCACTGGAGTGACTGTATGCAAAGACTTAAGTATTGACCATGCTCAAGCTGCTGTGTTTAGTTCAGCTGGATTCTGATGGACTCTCTCCCAACCTCCCAACTGTGGCCGCTCTCCATCATTCTCTGTTAGTTCATTCATTTGGTTGCACAACTAGATAAGTAAAAACCACCTCCCTACAAGCACTGTAATCATTATGTATTGCAAACAAGTACTAATAAAAATTAAAAAGGAAAAGAAAACCATGGTGAAAAGGTGCAGTAGAAGACAACTGCTCAGCTCATGGCATTTGGGAAGCAGAGAACAGGGGAAGAAGCCAAGAAGGGGTTGGGGACCATATATACTTACAAAGCCACACCCAATGTCTCACCCAGACACTTGGAAGTGCACATTCCTGATTTCTTGGGCCCATCATGTCACCAGTCAGGATGAATCATCACAGAGAGCACAGGCTGCATGAAGTGACCAAGGTCCCCGTATACGGGAAATAGGACCTGCAAACCCAGCTGGTTTTCAGCCATCAGTGCAACCATACAGTGGTCACAGGCTTTCCAAACAAAATCTGACTCATCCACACAATTATTTTTGGACAATATTAATGAAAACATTTTATTTCAATTATAATTTTACAACTTTAGAAACGATTGTGAAAGTTAATTCCAGTTTGGGGGCACAAAACCCATTTACTAAGTAGTTGTTGAACCCTTACTTTCTATAAGCTGTGAATCAAGCCCTTGTGGTAGAATTAAAGATAAAACATGCATTGTCAGGGCTGGGGATTTAGCTCAGTTGTTCTGCCACCTGCCTCACAAGTGCAAGGTCCTGAATTTGATCCCTGGTACAAACAAAAACAAAACAAAAACAAAATCCATTGTCTCTTTTTTCTAGAAATGCAGGGCCACTGCTAGACAAATCCATCTTCCAACAAACTGATGGAAGACAGAGTTTGGCTGGAAGGCAATGTAAAGGACATTCCCAGAAG